GGATGGCAATAACAGATGGAGGCATGGATGGTGTTTGTTTTTCCTGCAAGTCCTGAGTGTCAGTGCAGGTCAACACAAGAAGGAAAACCCAAAGCTGTTCATCAGCTAATCAGCAAAACATTTCATCTTTCCACGGAACGACACATAAACCACTTAATTGTACTGACACAGACAAACAGTTACTGTTATTAGTGGGTCAGTAGCTCATGGGATCAGACACTGAATGGCACAGTGATTTGTGTTCTCATTTTTGATGAATCCTGATGGCTGAGAATAGGCCAGAATCATATGAGTTGCCCCCAGCTCTGTCATCCTAGACGGGACTTATTTCCTGAATGTCACAGGAGTTTTCACACAAAGGCTTCAAAACACGAACGACTTGGTGTTATTCTCTTTTTATTCCTGCCCTGCACATTAGTGAAGTAAAGCTCTCGCTGCTGTCATATTATTTGTAAACGTCGACCCAGTTTATGTGTGGCCGCTGCAAAGTGTGTGCGTTCTATCAAGATTGTGACCACAGCGCTGCAAGAGGCCACAAGTGTGTGTGCGAGTGTGTGCGAGAGAAAACAACAGAGACAGTGTGCGAGCTTGACGTCATGTTTTCATCACTCGGATATTAATAACGCGCACATGCCCCCACATCAGCCGCCTGCACGCTTAATACACGCACGATACTCGAGATGGAGCACGGTGTGTGTATGAGAGAGAGGAGCGACTGCTGGTTAACTAATGACAGATTCTGGCAGCGATGAGTCCTGTGAATGTGAGCTACCATCATCAAACACGCTGTAAGAAGTTGAATCGTTAGATCGCGATCCAAACTACACACTGGAGAAGGTCCTAACAGGCTGACGCCGGCCCGTCACGTCGCCAGAGTCATCGCTGCAGCTCGGACACCCTCGCGGAGCCAGAAAAAGTCCAAAATGACACAACACAAGGATCGGTGTGAGGCCAAAACCCAACACTGACTCAGACCAGACGAACAATGCATTCCATCCTTTTTGGAAGGCGGCTGCCTCAAATTAGTGGTGATCTGGATGAGTTTGGGAGGTTTTCTTTCCCCAAAAACAAAGATACTCTGACCTGTGATGTCCTTAGATCTGGGCGCCGGGTTCCCGGCGCCGGGCGATCAAACGAGCAGACTCTGGGTACGCTCTGGTGAGCAAGAATTCACCTCGTCATCTTAATAAAAGCTCATCAGTGTAACCAAGCAGAGCTAGTAGGGCTAGTGTTGCTAACTCAGTGGCGCTGTGTTATCTGCTGTAGGGCCTGAGCACAGGAGACCTAAACCTGACCTCACACAGAAGAGGAGGAGTTGGTGGGGGGAGGGTGGCAGGTAACTGTGCCCCAACTTGAGGCCTGGACTTTTAGCAGGAGGGCAAGAGGTAGAGGGAAAGTAGGGGGGGGACTGCATGCAGATGGGTCAGCAGGCAGTCTCTTTGAAATGGAAGCCGGGGCAGGACATGAAGCGGACAGGGCCGGGGAGGGGGATGTACGGTGAGACAAGGAGCTATTCTTCTGGCGAGGGAGCTGGAAAAGAGGGATGGATGCTTATCTGTGTGTTTGTGTGTGGGCGTGTTTAGGATTACCGAGAAGCGAGCCACATGCGCTGACAGAGAGCTTCACCGATGCCGCTTCCTGCTGGCAGGGGTCTGTGTGAGTCAGTCTGGTAGGAGCGCAAGAGAAACAGCACCTGCAGACCGACACGTGCACACACACACACAAATTGAAAAAGACAGAATGGATATTTATTATACAGGAGTCAGAGTCACAGAATTATCTACAAGCCCTATAGAAACAGACTAAACTCCACTCATCTTTACATCTTGGCAGAGTGATATATACACATACATGTTACTGACACTCTGTTGTTCGAGTGGTTTTTCCCCTCTTTTTCAACCACATTGTGTGGCAGAGATCTAATAAAAGGAGAGTCTGATGCATGTAGACAGTAACTACTGAATCACAAGCTACAGTGTGTAAGTGTAGATAAAAGATGGACCTTGTAGGACGTGTTATCAGTGAAATGAATCGTGGTTTGCCTTAGACTCTAAAGGGTAAGCCACGCAATGACATCACACCTTAAAGGGATAGTGTAACATGTTTGGGTTTGCACTCAGTCTTAATAGGTTCATTATGAAATGAAGCATCAAACCACTACTGATGGGGATTTTCTACTGTTGGCTATATGACTGCATTTGGCAACAGGGTGAGCTCCTAAATGTTGGACTAAAGGGTGAGAAAACACTGTGCGCTGAATGAAACTTATATCATTTATGTAGATCTTTTTTTTTAGCTATAAGGTTGCGAATCATCAGTAATTACAAGACGATAAATACAAATTCCCTGGAGGAAAATTTACTTGGACACCAACCACGTCTGGACTACAGCACAAATACTCCTCTTTGTCTGGAATTTAATGGTTTTTATGGTGCATTTACAAACCAATCATAAAAAGAAATCTTACATGGGAAATTATTGTTAGACAGGCTTTCTGTCTTGTTTTATTTATTACACTGAGCCAAACAGCCCGGGACGCGAACATGTTAATCCTACACAGCAACTCCACCAACCACTAGTTGCTCAACCTAAATGACAAGAAGATGGTCAGAGTTGTCCCTTTTGATGTTCCCTCTTCTCCAGTAAATACTCAAAGCATACTTTGAAAGGTCAACACGCTGCTTGCTCCAAAGGAGCATCTTTCCATCCTGGCGTGTGACCTCTGGTCTCTGGACAGGAAAGCAAGAAGTTTCCCGATGAAGATTAAATCATTCTTTTCACTTCGGCCGATTTGCCAATGAGAGACTGAGCCAGTCTGCAGCAGGTGGACTGGTGGTTGGGAGTATTCAGAGGCCAGGACACAGGCTGGCTGGCTGGTTGGGGTGTGTATTCTGGGCCTTGGTAAGTATACTCTTTAAGCTGGGGCCATGGCCACAGACCAGTAGGAAGCCATTCATTACGCTATGCAGGGAAGGCAACGTGGGGAAAACCAGGGCGACCACGTAGCACCAAGCCTGGCCGCTGAGTTCTGGCCTGCCCCATCTCATCTCCTGCAGTCTCCACGCCCAGGCAACACCCACTGGCTCACACAAACAGCTTCCACACCTCCAGGTCCTTCTTCCTCTCGCTGTCAGCTCTCTCTCAGGGCTTTTCCACCTACGAGAAGCCAGAGCTGGAGCAGATTCCCAAACCAAATATTGAACATTTCCAAGTAATTTTGCTTCCCATTATTTCAAACATAAGAATATGTCTTCATTTTCACTGCCAGTTCCAACAAGCTCGGCAAAGGAAGTCATTCTAAAAGTAACCTATCACCCTGTTTGCTCACGGCCACGGTGCCAGACTAAAATAATCTTGTTTACCTGCGTGGATGATGAAATGTTGAATCTATTCTGGTGGGGGTTTAAATCTAGAAACTTCATCAAGTGTCTTTTAAAACTTGCTGCTGCACAGCCATACAGGATATTACAAAATAGTTGAGTTCTAAAGAAAGCTTGTGGGTCTGACTTTAACTCAATGGTGGCCTTGATTAGCTTACTGATATAAGAGCAGTTAATCATTTAACCACATTATTAAGATTTTATCACTTTGCTAAAATAAAAAAAGAAAGAAAAAGTTCAGATCAAAAAGTACTCCAGAGGGTTTTCGATATGCTTTGTGGTCTGTGCTGTTACTTCCAGTTTAGACAAGCACACGCCTGCTCATTAAAAGTTTGCTTGAGCAGCATCACCGGTTCCAGCACTGGTTCCAGTGTCCAAAGCAGAGAGCTCTGTCTTTTCTCCCTCTCTTGCTGCACTCCACAGTTACACCTCATCCACCGGGTTGGGAAGTCCCTGCATGGGAGGCTCAACCGGCTCAATCCAGCCCGGCACGGAGAAAACCGAAATATTTATAGAATTCCTCCTCCCAAAGACAGAGTGCAGAACTACACCCCACTGTGGGAGGAGATCCCGGGATAGGATCAAGCGTAAATGAATGGGAGACGATAAGACAGCAGCACAGAGACCTTCTGCAGGCTTATTTTTGTTGATCAAATGTCCGATTTCTTCCCCCTTGACTGCCTAAATGTGGATTTCCTGCTTTCTTGCTATTTCCTGCTTTCTTGCTACTTCTTCCCCACTTGTAGGAAAATGATCACATGACTTGTGGTCAAATAAACTGGTTCCGACATGAAAAACAAAAGCAGTACTGTGTATTGTATGATTATAATGTATAAGATGCTTAAAGGAGCTTGCACTATTATATACTGGCTTCCAGGAATCTTTTAAAACAACTAGGAGACAAGCGTATGTACTGTATACGTATGTATCAGCTCTTTGAATGCTGCAACAATAAAAAGAGATGAAGGTTGCAGACACAGTCCGTATAAAACACAGCATGGCGTGTCATAACCTGCATTCTCTCTGAAGACCACTAGATGGCAGGTGCTGTGATTGCAAACAGACCTGTGATCCTATAGAAATGTACAGAATAATGGCTTTGTGTCTTGACCCCTTAAAACACATTCATGCTGAGGTTGTGACTGATGACACGTAATCCAATGAGCAGCCAGTTTCCCAGTCAGTCCCATCCTTCCTCCACACATCTGTTTTTTCTGAAACTGAGATGAGGCGATTGTGAAAACGTTTGTCTTCGTATATCTAGGTGCATCTTTTATGCTGTATGGATACAGCTAGCTGGTTTAGCGCCCACTGTTTATTATTAAGGTAGAAAATAAATGCTACTGTAGTTATGCTTGCTCATTAAATATAAGTTAGACTTATGGCTCTCCTTAGGTGGTGAAGCAATTTCCACTTCGACATGATTTTCCAAGCAATAACAGATATGGTTAGCGAGTTAGCTGTGGCTGCATAGATTAGACAATGTTTGGTTCACATTATTAGCTGATAAACTCATATAAAAAATGGCCGGATACCAAATGAATTCTGGGAGTCTGGATAAATTAGCGGCTAAATCTTAACCACTTAAAACTGGCTTTTGCTATCTGACGGTCTTCTGTGTTAGCAGGCACACTGGAGTTAGCTAACATTAGCCAGAAGAAAGGCAGCTCCAGAGTGGATTTATTCTCAAGCATGCGCATCACATCCTTCAGATTTTCAGAGAAACATACTTCACATTCTTCAGATTAGATGTGACATGTTGTAAGTCCTTCAGAAGTCGCCCCAGACACTATTTGAGGGAATGGTGAGAGTTGGTAACATCGCTGGCAACAAAATACATTAAAATATGAAAAAAGTATCCAGTGTATGTGCTTCTATTTAAACATGGAGGTTTGCAAACATTGCAAATAATTGGCACAGCGGTCTAGTGGTCGCCTCACAGCCAGGAGGTTTTGGGTTTGCATGTGCCTGTGTGGGTTCTCTCTGGGTACTTAAACTTCCTCCCACAGTCCAAAGGCACACATGTTAGGTTTAGAGGCCATTCTAAAAGATCGGTAGATGTGAATGTTAGTGTGAAGGGTTGCAAGTCTGTCTTTGTTGAGCCCTGATTATACTGATTATACTGCGGACATGGACAGCTGGATACCCAACTGCCAATAAGTCATTCCTGTTATTCGTCTCTTTACTTCACTCCTTGAGGCACATTCATAGTTCGTGCATTGTAATGTAAATACTCTGCAGACGAGTCTACATGATCACAAAAAACATGCAGGAACGTGAACACAGACTCTCACGCTCACCGTATGATCGTGAAATTCACATCTTTTCACATCCCAGTGGAGCCGTGGATGCAGAAAGTATAATCGAGGCTTTAGTGCATTTATTCAAAACAGACATATTTATTATATCATATAAAAAGATATTTATCAATGCAGCTGTTTTAGATACTTTACAACCTCATAGTGTAACCACGCGTCCCCCTATAGCTGTGGATTGGAACTTCAGACAAAAAAAATACAAGAAAAACTTGAATTATGAAAATATCAAACCCTCCTTGTATGCCTTGTTCTCTAAGCAGACATTTAACTGTTTGTGTGTGCCTTTTTGTGTGTTGCAACAAGCCTCATTCTGCTTTTGGGTCCGTTAAAAATAGTGGTGGTGGATGTGAGGTCCCTTCAGACTCTGTTATCAGGCTGCCCTGCCGTCCCTCCCACTGCCGCAACCACAGACTGACCACATGTTGTTGCAAGCGCACATGCGCGCACATGCACACAGCAAGTGTAAGCGCAAATAATTGCACAGCAATCCGGGGCTCCGTCCAGTAAAACACATTCACAAAGAAACGCATAAATCGGCGTTCACATAAAAGCAGATAGAGGTTAGGCAGAGTGCGGACGCGCCCAATTAGACAAAAAGAGATCCAATAAAGACGAGCTAAATATAAAAAAAAACAAAAGAAACACACAAACTTTCCCTTGCCCTGCACGGCCGTATTCTTGCACAAACAAAGCTTATAAATGCACTCCATGTGCATGACTATATCACTGTTAACAGTTATAACAGAGCATCGCAGCTGGCCTCCAGGGAGTTGTTTGTTATTTTATTATGTCCAGAGGCGGGTGTACATACTGGTACTAGCAGCATAGGGGGTGTGCATGTGTGAAGGATTGACACTCAGCTGTCGAATATCCTGCAGTAGTAAAACAGGAGCTCCCTGAACAAGAGGCCAGGGGTTAGTTTACTTTGTACATAACAGAAGTAAAGATCAATGATATGAGTGGACAGCAACTAATGACCATAAACATGAGACATTACA